GATCTTTAATGAAACCCCATAAGAAAAAATCGAGAGGTGTCAAATCTGGAGAACGAGGTGGCCATGCTATCGACCCTGTTCGACCAATCCACCGACCTGGGAAACGGTTATTGAGGAAATCCCGGACTTCTGTGAGGTAGTGAGGTGGTGCGCTGTCTTGCTGGAAGTGAATGCGTCCTTTTTGATCATCTTCGTTTAACTGTGGTATGAGAAAATTTTTGAGCCATTCGGTACTACAGCACAACGTGAGTCAAACTTGATTTGTTTTGCTATGAAATGACACCTCAACCGATTCTGTAAGCCTTCTGAATAAATTTCTATAAACTTTCAAAATTGTAAAGTCCTTTTTGAATCGCCTGGTATATGCAGCTGTAAAGTAGAGTGTCACTGTCTGTTTCAAAACTGTAACTCTATGTAAACTGATAAAATATTATACTCAAGAGCTCAGCCTCTATTAAAAGTATGATGTATTTCAGCATGTAAACTATACGCAATAAACATATCAGATATGCCTTTTATCATTTGCCCTCTTTGTGAATACTTATACACCAGCATCTGTGTTGATTTCTGAAGGACATTTTATAACTATTTTATTAATGATGATATTTTTCTCTAGAAAGAAACAGTGAAACAGAATCTCAGACTGGAAATAGTGGAAGTGAAGACAACAATATAGGGAAGGAATCAGGGAAAAATAATGTTATAAGTGTTCATCATCTTGCTACAAATGGAAGCAATAACTCTACCCCAGGACCGGCACTCAATGGCAGCTCAAGCATGGACAGACCAGCAACTCCTACCAAAGAGACAGCCAGCAAAGAAAGCAAAACTATGCATCGTTCAGGCACAAAGAAAAATGCAAATAAAAAAGCAAGACATCGATGACAAAGTGAAGTATGTTCATTGAACAAATTTTAATATGTAATGGAACTGATGTCATGAACATTTTGTCTTTATCTTTTCCATGGTTCGAAGGGTATTTACAGTATTTATTTTATACACAAATTGTTATAGCATCACTCTGTTCCATGAATCACTGTTAAATTTTCATTCTTAATTACATGGCACTTAAGTTCTTTTTAGATGTTGTATGATTTGTATGTGCAAACCTTCAAATAATTTTCTGTATTATGTACATTATCATTTTCTCTAAAAGTATTAATGGAAAACACCTCTCATACTTCGCATTGAAGAATTACATTTAGGATGTTCACAGTAGACAAGTGAATAATTGAGCATAATTCTGTTAATGATGAACACATCTTCAAAAGAAGTAATTCATCACTACAGCCCAAACAGCATAATGTCAAAAGCATTGTGCTAATTTGTTTCTTCTCATTACATCATTCATAAGGGTGTTTTAACATGGAATGGTTAGTGATAAACATTTGTGTTCATTAGTGAAACCATTACTGGATGTGATTGGTGTACTATGAAGAGACAAAATCAGACATTCATTTTCAGATAAGAGTTTGAACAGTGTTTTTCAAAACAACATGCAAGTTACAGAATTAGTCAGAAGGCTTTCTTATACACTCTGTGTTGATAGCGATGCAGATCTTTTCTAAAGACGATTACACAATTTGAGGGTGCATTGACTGTCATTTAATAAATTTCTGTAGTCTTCTCAAAACAGCACATACAACTTCATTGTTTCCTTGTATCTGTTCATGAAAATTCTAATAGTGATTCTTCAGTTTAAAAATAAAAATTGTTCTTCATTAAAACTTTAGAAAATATCAGAGAACTGCAATCTGTACATTTATTTTTGTATACTTTGTATTTCAGTTAGCAGGAAACTTAGCAAACAGTATGTCCCAAAATTTTCATGCATCTTGTGAGCAGTAGATGTGTAAAGACGAACGTGAGTTCAGATATTTAATGAGCTATAGAAGTATAATTTATAAATGTAACTTGGTGTGTGCGTATGACAAGTATCATTAGCTTTGTGGGCTGCTGTTTAAAATGTGCTTGGCTGTCAGTGGAGGATGTTGGGTAAGGTCTTGTAGAAGTAATATTATGACAGCATACTCTGTTAGACTGCTTTCTAATTGGACGTAACTGCAACTTTTCAACAGCACTATATACATTTTTAGTTACAATGCATTACTGGCAAGAATAATGTAAAACAAATAACACTTTCTGTAGATAGTCCTTGACAAATCTGGCCTAACATTTAAAATCCACAGGTAATTCGATGGATGGTAGACCATATAAGAATATGTTATTACCTTCGTTTAGGTTTTAGTTGTCAGTGGAACCACATGCCCATGTTGTCAAGACCTACTGATATCTGCAGAGGTTATCTTGAAACAGTAGTCTGGTGTTTGAAGTGAATCACAATGAAGGAGTAACAGGTATTGAGAAAAATTACTAATGGCTCCATAAAAATTCTCTAAAGGTTTATGATGCTGGTTGATTTGTACTAAAACTGTGTTAAAATTTAATCCGCAGTATAATTCTCACTGTGCATTCCCCACTGTCTGATGCACATTAAATGTACATGGTTTAAGCACTTGCTGTAGTCTCATCTTTAAGTGGCTGGTTATGTTTATACTGAAAGATTTTTTTATTTTGAGATTCATGGTAGTGGTTGGGATTAAACTTAGGACCTTTATAATAATTAAGTCAATATGCTAACCACTAGACCACTGGTACAGCTGCCAAATGTGCACCAAAATTATATCAACAGCATTACTTTTATTTCAGTTTTCTGGTTTATAATTTTATTTACTTTTATCAAAAATAATTTCAGCACTCTAAAACTTATTCACTGAGACCAGTGTCCTCCATGTAAAATGTAATTTACAAAGAAAATTTATGCACTGTTTTCCTCTTTCCTTTTAATTTAATCTGTATATTTGTTTTATTGGTTAAATTTGGATATTTTTATTTTGTGTACCATACTCTACAAACTGTTCACACATTTTGGTTTAAAATGGGAAAATGTTTTTCTACATAACAATTATAAAGTAAAGCTGTCTCACTACAGTCCATGGAGGCACTTGGGGGAAAGACAGCATAGCTAATACTCATTCTTGACCTCAGCACTAGATGGGGATAAATGGTCAGCATCACACCCTGGCCACACTTTACCCCCTGGTGAAAGGACTCCTGGAACCCAATGGCTGGGGGGTTGGGTGAGCCCTAGAGCTGGTCTGGACACAGGCTAGAGGAAAGTTCCTTTGTCCCTGCCAGGGATTGAACCCTGGTCATCCAGTCTGTAGTCAAACACTATACTAACTCAGCTAATCCAGTTCATACATAATGATTATTACTTGTAATGAATTTTTCTCAGGGTACGAACCTTGTCAGGTGGTTGAATAGAGAAAACAGTTTTGAGAACCATCTTTGTCCTTGTCTTCAGGGTATTGAGGTTGTTGGAGTTCCTGTCCATGCTCTATATATACCTGCCCCAGCCCCAACGTTAATAGCTGCATGTTAGCCGATCGGGACTGGTGTGTGGAGTGACATTCGCTATTTTTAGCTCAGATTTCTGACATCCAACCACCTGACATGACTAGTAGTCCTAGAATAATTCATTATACTTAGTTGCCGTGAAAGCTTCAGATAATGGAGCTGAGTCCTTCCTCAGAAGCCAACAGTTGCTCAGCAGCTCAAGAAATTCCCAATATTTTATGGAACCCAAAGGTTCATTACAGTGTTAACAATAACCTACTACTGATACCTATTCTGAGCCACTTTAATCCAGTCCATACCACCCCACCCTGTCTCTCTTAAGATCCATTTATTCTCCCACCCATGTCTAGGTCTTCCTAGTGGTTTCTTTCCTTCTACTTTGCAAACAAAAACCCTTTATGCATTAGTCTTCTCTCACATGCAGGCTACATGCCCTGCCCAGCTTATCCTCCATGACTTGATCTCTCTAATTCTATTTGGTGATGAGTACATCTTATGAAGCTCATCATGCATCTTTCTCAAGCCTCCTTGCAATTCATCCCAAATATCTGAACTTTGCCACGTTTTCAAAGGATCCATTAGTTATCTTTATGTTATGATTTTGCCCTGCATTCTGGTGATGAGATATCAACATATATTTAATTTTTTCTTGTGTTTATTTCTAAAATAACCACCTTACTAGCATCAATTAGAATTCTGTTTTTGTCTTTATGCATACATAATGCTTTAAGCTGCATAATCATTTATGTAATGAACATAATATATGTATGTATGTATATATATATCAGCACATTCAGATTTCTGTAAAGCATCTATTCATAGTTCTACTTTATAATATAATTATATTCAGTATTCCTTTTCAATAAATTTAACTTCATATCTTTCTCTTTAGTCATTCACCTAAAGATGCCGACAATTCCATGCATGAATATGCATATATGTAATTGTAGTTTTTATTACATGTTCTATATAGATTTAGACCAGATTAAACTAAAGCTTTGGTACCATTTGCACAGGGCATCTTCCCACCTGCTTTGATTCATTTAGGTAATTTACAAGATTCATCCTTAAATGACCATGTGCTGTACTATTTTATTTTAATTTGGAGCCAAGCAAGCATGCTATTTTCGTTCAGTTGATGATCTGTGAACATAAAGTAATGCAGGTAACATATGTTTTCAAAACATTTTATAACACATGAAAGTTTTCTGTATGTAAACAGCATCATTATTATTCTGAGTTATTTCAGGGTGTGCTAGGATGTTTGGTGCTGTGTGGTAGACCTGAAGTTTTTACTTCCACCCATCGTCAAGCATGAACATGAATAGAACTGTCTACATATGAGTCTAATTTCTGCTTTGGTATACAAGTATCACTTCATCATCATTGCTGTCACATGTATTCAACAAAAATGATGATGATGATAAATCAATTTGATCACTGGCAGTACCAAAACTAAAATACAGCTTTATAATTATTAACTGGTAACAAGAGGAAATTATAGAAAAAACAAGAAAAATGCTAACCATCCATGGACAGCTTTACCCAAGAGCAGACATCGATCCCTTATGTGGTCTCGGACGAGGAGGGGGAAGAAGACTGATGCAGGTGGAACTATTAAATTGGTGAAATATGTAGAAAGTAAAGAAGAGCCACTGATAAAGACTGTTAGGAGATGCCAACATACTACAAACAGGTAACAAATTTAAGACATCCTGTAAAAGGGAAACAAAGGAAATAAAAAACATGGTAGCTCAATATAAAAGGAAAATCAGAAGAAAAAATGATGCATGGACAGTTTCTACATAACATAAATGAAAAATTGATGGATCAGGAACAGTTGTACCAGTGGCTTAAGTTTGGAGATATTAAGGGAGAAATAGAAAGTACAATTGTGGCAGTTCAAGATCAGGCAATCAGCACAAAATACTTTAAGAAAAAAATTCTGAAATAAGAAATTGAAAGTACATGTTGACTATGTAAAGAATACAAAGAAACTATTGACCACCTAACATCAATGTCCTATTCTGACAATGAATAATTAATAAGACACAATAAAGTCTATGTATTTTACCCAATATACAATATATAAGGCATTTAACCAACAGAAAACTGGTACTCTCACATACCTAAGTCAGTATGTGAACATGAAGATATAACAATAATATGGAAGGGGTACAAATGATATGGAGGTTCTGGAAAATAGGTCAGACATAATTCAAAACAAGATAAAATTTACTTACTAATAGATGTAGCAATACCACTGGATAGGAAGGAAAAAAGAGTCCAAAAAGAAATTTAAATACAAAAATCTAAGTACAGAAATTCAGAAAATGTGGAACATGAAATGTGTTGTCATATCAGTAATCACTGAGGCAACAGGAATTGTAACCAAAGGACTAAAAAATCTCTGGAAACAGTAACAGGAAAGCAATAAATATATTTCTACAAAAAATGGCCATACTAGGAACATCGCACAATAAGGAAAGTGTTACAGTCAGAGTGGTGGGGTTCACCACTGGTTCAAGAGGAAAAGTACCAGGAGAAACCTGTGAAAAAAGAAGGATAAGAAATCATAACAACAACGACGATGATTTCAATAATTCAATTCTTTATTGTAACATGCTGACTCAACAACATGAGCCAATTACCGAGTCATGACAAGGGGATTAAATACATGGATAAAAATACCTACAAGAACACAAATACACTGTAGTACAAAGTGAATAATAATGCTTAAAGTACCAAAACTAGTAATTATTGGTGAATACACTTAAAGATTTATGTTAAAACATTTATTGTAAAACATGTTAACATTAGGTCTATTACAAATCTGACTGGCAGCTAAGTTGCAATGAACAGACATTTGCTGCATGAAAATTAGGTACGGAATTATTCAGGACTCTCAAATTTTTCTTGGGAACTCTGATACCAACCGTTTCCAGAAGTGAAAGGCAGGTAATAAAGCCATTATAAACATTCCTTATGAATAAGATATCAAAGCAATTTTGTCTGTCATATAAAGTTTTAAATTTTAAGCTGTCTAAAATGTAGTAGAATTATATCCATTACGATTTTATCTCTGTGCTGTATCTGTAATTGGCCATCAGGCTGTTGATACAGCACACAAATAATAAAGAATTGAATTGAATTTTAAGAAAATATGTTGTGACTTAAGTTAGCAAACTTTTTCTGGATATGTTAAAGTCTGCTGGAGTCAGTGGTGGTAAAAGAATTCCAAGTAGCAGAAGCATATTCAATTTTTGATCTAACTAGGCTGTTATAAAGAATCATAAGGCTATCTAAAAAGAAATGGAAAAAATTTATAGCTCATATTAGGCCTAACAGCATTATGGTACAAAAGAATAAGTAATCAATATGCAGATGAAAGTAAAGTTTTGAGTAAGGAAAGACAAGATCCTTAATACAGTCTGTACATAGAATACCTGAATTACGAGTAACAGTTAATAGTTAACATGCTGGTTCTTATGGAAAATGAAATGACTTGTTTTACCAGCATTAATCTACACATGATCTGCAATACAAGGCAAGCACACTTTGACTTTTCAAAAAATATCCTGCACCATACAGTGAGTGAGTGAGTGAGTGACGATTTGCAGTACAACAATTTTTCACAGCTTAAATCTGACTACAGAAGTAGCTGTCAGTCGAGGTAATGTCGCAAAACATTTTGATATCATCAGTGACGAGAATAAATTTACGTGTAATATTACTGCATAGATTGTTAGTGAAAGAAAAACAACAACGGTCCCAAAACTGAACCCTGAGGAACACCAGACAGTGCAGTCAAAAGCAATGAAAATGTTCCAGAAAAACAAACATAGCACTGCCTATTAGTCAGGTAGCTGCAGAACCAATTAAAATAACCAGTTAAAAACCATAACTACAAAGCTTGTCTAAAAGTTATGAATGCAAAACCAAATTAAAAGTGCTACTACACATCACCTCAAAATTTTAACACATACCAGTACTCTGTAAATATTTCACCATCAGTGACCTATGTAAATAGAAAGGAAGATGAGTAAGAAAAATAAAAGTAAAAATCCACTGAATTTCTTTAGTCTTGGTAATTTAGTGGCAGTGAACACTATGCATGTCTTAAAATGTACCTTAAAGTTAATACTATTTCAGTTGTAATGACCACAGAATTCTCAACCACTTCATACAAAAAATTACAGTTGGCAAACCTGAGAGCTGTGAGTGATGTCTACTTTCATAATTGGTCTACTTACTGATAAATTAAAGGAGTGAAGAGATACAGAGAAACGTTCAAACAGTAAATAGTAAAAGTAATACAAAGCTTTCAACATTTGCTTCTTGAAACCTTAACTGTCTTTGTCCTTCCAATTAGAAGGCTTTCTAGTTTTATCCTCTGTAACATTATATTGCTTGCTTTTTTCATATTTTACCACATGATGTCACACTTCATATCACATAAAAATTATAAACAAAAAATACTATTTTATGCTAATAATGACTTGGTATGAAATATTTGCTCTACATATAAAAAACCAATATGATTTATATCAGTTCCTTTTATATTATTATGCATTATCAAGTTTTATATCTAATAAAATGTGTGACCCAGTTAGTTGCCTAAAATGGACCTACTTGCTAAAGTCAGGCCATACATTACTGTGTTATGTTTGGGTTAATACTCAAGCTGTTCCACTTCAGTGAAATTCAATTCTTGTCAGTGACTAATATATGAATAACACAGATAAAGAAAAAACTGGAGGGTTGTGTTTAAGAACATGTTTAGTAAATATGTAAGTATAACAGACAAATTTCATCATTTCAGATCCAAGGTGTCAGTTTGGTCTTTGTTCCCCAAATGAGAGCTGCATCTCTGCATCAAAACTTTTATCATGATTTTATTAGCCAACTGTGAGAAGATCTTATGTCATTCACATTAAATTACAAGTGTGTCTCTCATTCTAGAAGTAGGCATAAAAGGGCACCACCAAACTTGCAAACAATAAATTTAGAGCTTCCCGTTGACTACGTATTCTGAAGCTAGACTTGTTTCTCAAGTAGCACTCAAAACTGATGAATTTCCTTTTAGCCATCCTGCACAACACATGGCATTTCGTAAGCTTATAAATTCACTTCTTGTTTCACATTAATTTTTTAAATACCTCTTTAAAGTTCTTTTTATAATTACAGATTACAGTTGTTAAGGCAGGCAGGCAGACCACTGTTATAGAGACAAAGTGAAATGCAGATGAATATGAAACATTGTCCAAACAGTAATTATTTTCTTAATCAACTTATATCTATTACATAACTGTATGCTTTCCATTTCCTGTGGATTCTACAACAGTCTTCAGTAATGAAATTTTACATCTTTAACTACCATAAATTACATATTATATTAATATAAATGGTGTTTGTGTGTGTGTGTGTATATATATATATATACACACACACACACATACATATATATATATATATACACATATATCACAGATCTGACTAAGAATTTCTTCTGTTCACGTAGTTAAAATATGTGTCAAGACCCACTAGCTGAAGGGCCGTTAAACTGCAATGACAGCCTTCTCTCTGAAAATTTAAAAATTACACCAATATTTATTCTTGAAACATATAATAAACCAATTCTAAATGCAGTGAAATAGGAATTTATGTTACACGAGGTGCTGGATATGTTTTAGATGTTAGGAAATGTAATGTAGCACATTACATATAGAAATGACAGAGTAACCACCACCCCAACCATTTTCAGAATTTATGTGGCAGAAATAATGTCTGTCTGAGCAGAGAAGTGACTTGAGCTTCTAACAGATGTACCCAATTGCACAAGTGCACAGCCATTCTAAAACACGGTACAGAAACATCAGTTGACTATCAGCTCTCCGTGACACTTTCTAGAGTTCTGTCTCATTCCTATACTTTTAGTATTTTATAGTTTATACATAATTCAGTAGTTCAGTCAGTCACTGGTTACACAATCATAGTGCCAAGTATCATGCAGATTGCTCCAACATTGGGAACTTTCTTATTAAGAGGCAATGTTTTTGGGCAGCATTCAGCATGATGTCATGGCCATGAGATTGTATTAATTCTGTGATCCAACAGACAGCACATACAAATTAATAAAACTACTACAAGATAATTCATATTTATCATTCTTTGTATACAGTTTCTTTGTGAATAAATTCACAACAGACAAACATAGGTAACTAAATCATTTAGTCATGAAGTCTTACAGATATATGGTCTGAGGATATGGACTGGGTTCATCTGGCAGTAATGAACCTCCAGCTTCCATAAGGAAGGAAATATCTTGACAAGATGAACAAATTTTAGCTACTTGAAGGCCCTTCAGTTACACCAGCAAGACTGATGTAAGTAATGTCACAAGGAAACAAGAAGAAACAGTAATGGGATACCAGCAAAAATATGAATGATACATAATATAATTACACTTAATCCTTGCTTAATGAACACCCCAATTAACAATCACTGTGTCTGTTCATTTGAAAACTTAATATTCCTTTACTTATACATAATATATTTTTACTTTAAAAGAAAACATGCCAAGTTATACATGTTTCAACCATACCCAACATTCCTCTTGCCCCTGCCCTTACAACTGTTGGAAATTAATTTTCATTTACCATATTTTCAAAAAAGAATCCTACAATCAGATCTTTCACATGCTCAGTATGTTATGCAGCTGGTTCAATATAACAAGGCTTTCAGTATTAGCTACAATCTGAAACCAACTGCGAAAGCACACTAAATATAACACCGAGAGAGAAGGTGATAAGGAAAACATTGTGAACATGGAAAGGGCTCTGTTTCACCTAAAATGTAAAGTTTTGACAAAACAGTTACCCATTAAAGACTTTTTTTTACAAAAAGAAGTAAGAAGATTTCCGTCTTCTGGGCTGTTGCGCTGTGTAGTCTGGTCGATGTTAACCAACGTTTCAGAGGTCATACTGCCTCCGTCATAACATTGAAATTGGTTTTCTGAGGATTGTTTTGTGTATGTCAAAGAGAAAAATACACTATTTTTTCCCTCATTTTTAATGCTTTCCTACAACTGTCATTTTCCCATATTCATCATTTTTATTTCCCTCCCCCATCAAAAACAATGCATCACTGTATTTAGCAAGCAAAATTCCACTCTATTCTCCCACTGACTTCTAGTCAAATTCAGATAGAAAAATATACAAATAATGAACAAATGTACAACTAACTGTTTAAGTTGTGATAAGTTATTAAATTTTCAGACTCTTGAACTTCATGGTAATAGATTCATATGAATGAAGTTTGCACAGTGTAAGGTGAACAAGATTTATAAGACTGATCCTGGAGGTATTAACAAAAACAGATGAATTCACAAATAATTATGGTAAGAAGTAAAATATTTAATGTTGAATGTAGACTTTAATTATTAAAATGAAAGTGAGTTATTATTTTGCAGTGTGTTGGTACTGGCTTTATGGTTTTCTATGCAAGAAGGCATGGCTGTAATTTCCTTTGCACACTTGTAGCTTGCTATTAAATTTCCCGGTGCTTGGTGAATATTCAATCAGTTGATCACAAGTATCCAACAGCTAGAGCATCATCACATGACACATAACAGCCAACCAAAATAATATAACAAACATAAAATGGAATGAAAGTAGCTAAAACATAGTAGCAACCCAAGTACCATGCAAGTATTCACCAGAAATGTCTCAGAAAAGTGAGTCCATTATCACATTTCACATGTTTACAGTGACAGTAAAGCCTGCACCTAGAGATACACATTAATTAGCAAGTATATGACGAGACAGTGGAGTGACCAATTTTGAGGTAGAGAATCATTATTTCCTGAAGAGACTACATAAACAGTCTAAAATTATTATTATTATTATAATATGTATGTAACTGCTTAAGGATGCAGGTACTGGAAAAACATAAACTGAAATTTGAATACAAAGTGTTATTAAGAATGTCTGGACCAGATACTAAACAGCTGACTGAAAAATGAATACATAAAATAGGAAACATAATTGTTTGTAGTCATTACCTAAAACTGAGGGAAAAGAATGAAGGTTTAGGTTGTCTGAGCATTCAGTACACACTGCCAAAATAAGATATGAATATACTACTTTTTGAATGAAGTACAGCACTCCTCATTATCTGACCTAAATGAGACCAAAGGACAGACAGATAATAAAAAATATCAGATAATATAAAATACTGATTAATACAATGACAGTAAGTATCAATTCAATTTTTTCCACAATTTACAATATTAATCTCACAAACAAAAATATTATTTAGCATAATAAAACATTTTTAAACAGGTTTATTTTTTAAGAAATTACTAACAAGTATTTGCCTCTGAACATTTTTCTTCTCCTAGCAGTAAGGTCACACCAGCACCTGAACAGCCTGTAGCATGAGTACATAAAATATAGGAGGTGCACGGTCACAGAGTGCGATTCATTTTGCTTCATGCTGAGTTTACTATTGATAAAATGGAGAATTCTGACATGACACAGATAAATGGAATGTTGGATACCTGAAGGTCAGATAATCAGGACTCTATACCGTATACACAAAAAGGTACCTGGAAGACCAAGCCATATAAATAAATATAATATTAAAATAAATCTAAGATGACAAGCTCTTTAGTTCTATAATGCTAGGCATAGGACCTATTTTGTAAACTTTATAACACAGTGTTACTTACGTTTTAGCAACCTACTTTCAGCTTTTCCTGAATATCGTTTTGCTGCCACATAAAATATGACAGGAGCAATAGATGTAAGAACTACTGATATTATAAGGAGTATTTCAGCTTTTGGTTCTGGTATGTGGCAACCAAGAACTTTACTCCATTTTGTTCTAGTCGAATTCATCTGCAACCAAAATAAAAACTGTTATTGTTAGTATTAATAATGATTCCACATTAACTATTCTACTGAAATTAATTCACTGTCACTCACTAATAATACTTAATTCCTTTAATAATAGTTACAATTAATTTTACAAAATTTTATTCCTGAATTTTGGATAGCCCATAATGCCATTTATGAAAAGTACCAACAACTTTATTATGGGTACAGTCAATACTTGATTACCTGAATGCTGGTTATCTAGACTGCAGACTATCTTTTATTCCAAGATGTGACTGGAGATAAAAAATCAATGAAGAAATAACAATAATTAATGAAAAATAACAAATTCCAGAATAATATTTGAAACCCATTTCTTACTTTCCCTTAAGTATCAATTAGTTTATACAAAATGCAGCTAAATTCCAAATTGCAAAATAAAAGATATTTAAAATGTAGGCACAACATGGTTTTGCAACTGCTACAATCATGACAGCCTGTACACAAATATAAGAAACTGATGTTCAAGATACATATAAATATAAAAGAATGGTTCAACAATAATGGATGACTCTTAGATACGCAGGTGTCTCAGTTAATGTAAAACCTACTACGACAGCGGCTGCAAGCAAAGTACTGGTAAATCAGTCACATGGTAGTGGGTAAGTTCTGAGTGACATGGAGCTATGTAGAATTCAGACACAATATTAAGCTCAACGCTTCTAGTAATTACTATAAAATATTTGACTGGTCGATTCCTAAGTTTCAATTCAGGGTTTTTATAGGCATATACTATAAAATGAGATGGGAAAATTATTATGAATGGTATGGCAATACTTCAAATGAGACTGTCAAGGACTATGTTAGGACAGTCTACTATCCCTTCATGCACCCAGGAAGACCGAGCAATACCTATAACCTTCGTCAAGATAGCCAGTAAATCTATCATATTCAAACTGGATGCCTCCTGAAAAGTTTAGAGCATTACTACTCTATCCAACTTCGTATTTGAAACAAGATAATAAAACAATGACTGATATAATGTACCCATTGACATAAAAGAACACAAGCTGAGACAAAGAACAGCTAACAAACTTCAACCGAGTATCTGGTGGTGTTTTAATGTAGTCCACGATTTCTCTATCTTCACACCCCTGACCAGATCAGAAGCTCACTGTACGTATGTAAAACGCTTTGTCAAAAAACTGGCATTCCCATGTTCTGAAAGGCCAAATTTCTTTCATAATATGAAGTATTAAAAATAAGCTTATACTACCAAAAGATTTAAAATAATGTAACACATTTTGGATTTATGTTTTCTAAAACAAATGTCAGAAAAAAGATCATCATCATCATCATCCTAAAACATGGGCAACCACTAATTTGTGCACTCACATACAGTATGATCTAATTTGTATGGACTATAAAATAATAGGACTCAAACTTTCTTGTTTCATTACTACAGTCCCATTTACTTGTCTATAACTTACCACATATTTTATTTTAATTTGAAATTCCCTAAGTTATATTCATTCTTTTTCTTATGAAGTCTGAATACTGTCGGGAAATACAACAGTCAATCAAAATAAGGGGCTGGGGCAGCCTTCAGTTGCAGCTTGGCAGTAGTGCAAGACATTTCTCTCCTGAGCACTGCAGTGTAGTAATGTTTTACTACATAGTCAATGTGACTCTTATCTGAGCCATCACACTCAACTTTAAGGTATGCCTGGCACTTGTGAGTTCAGCTCTATACGTGACCCAACTGGAGCCAGCTAAGAAGTAGACAAATAGCTGGCCCACTCCACACTCCCCACCCTGTTGTGTAGTGTTATTCTGATTGAATTTCACCCAAGTTTCACAAGAAAAGAAAACTACAATAATAAATTATATAAAGAGTTTACCGCATCCACAATATCCATGCACACGATTCCTTCGCCTGTATCAGCTTTCAGAGCTTCATAGTACTTATTAAGAGAGCAATATTTGTCTGTACAATTAGCACATATTGCTGGGTCATATTTCTTACTGGTCACATTATAAAATGTATTGAAACAGTTCTGAGTGTCACTGTAGAGTTGTTGAAATTTAGTAGTAATGTTTGAAAGTTGCGGTGTTAATGTTCCATTATCATTTGCAACAAAACAACCTGAAATAAAAGACAACATTATAAAATTATCTTCATTTATGTCATACATATGTAGTCAGTTACACTATGTCTAATTAATTCACATAATCTTGAACTATAATTCCACATAGAGAGTGGATATATGCTTGAGATTAGGTGTGCTGAACTGTACTCTTTATTGTTTTGTTGCTGTTGTATGGTCCTGAAGTAACATTTAACTTCAGGTACATTCATGAATTGTAGTTATGATATATTGTTGGACTGGTGCTCAGATGTAAGTTTCATTCTGTGAAGACTTCTGTTGGTGTGAAGTTTTATATTTGCATAAATTTACAAACATTGTTGTAGAGATGGTTAATATTAGTAATACAATCATTGGCACTTAAACATAACCAACCTAATTAAAATATCTCATATTAAGAGATGAATACAGAACAAAGTTGCTTGAGGAGAATATCCAAACCTAAGAGGCAGGAAGTACACGGAGAATGAAAAACATAGAACACAGACAGACAGAGATGGGCCCATGGGGTGTTCTCTGCTCACGCTAGAGCATGAAAAACACCTAATAAAGGATGCAATTTGAAAGCACTGCTATTATTTCATTTGAAGGTTTTATTTATTATAGTTCCAAACACGAAGTTCTAACAATTATGAAAGTATTAATTATGTTAAAAATTGGCTGATAACCTATGAATATAGGTTAACCTAACATAAAATACATTTTCAAATAATAATTTCCTTATGACAAACAACACCATGAACTGTTAATCATCTTCTCCCACATATTCTAGTTTGTTAACTACAGGCTTAAGTTTTCATGCATAACAAAATCATCTTATAAACCTCTCAAAAAGAAAGAAAATTTTGGGGACCTGTAAGATATAATACAATTCTTTCTTAAACAAATTTAAATATAAAGGAGTATATAAATTCTCATCTCTAAATGTTATTATATGGAGATTTTATTAAGTTGAAAGGGATAACTGAACATAACTGGGTCAAGATGAGACCCAATAATGGACATCTTGTGTCATAACAGCAGTAAATGTTTTTGTTATGAAACCATAGGTAATACCTTCTGAATACACAGGGATAACCTCATACTCTGCTTATTACTTTATTGTTTGTGGCAGAGACTATGTTATTCTATTCAGATATGTGATTACAAAAGACCATCAACTACATGCAAACAATGCTTTTTTACTTCTAATTCATCAACAAAAAATCTCATCAAAACATAACAAAAGGTACTTACTATTGCATTGACCTCTTTGCCAGAGATTGTGAACATAATTAAAAGCACCTTCAATTACTTGAAGGCGATCCAAATTCACAAGTTCCATTTTACAAGCATGTCCACCTTCATCATGAGCCTAATACAAAACAAATTGTTAGTCGGAAATTTGAGAGTTAAATGGGTGTAAAAATAATTGTGGTCTTCTAGGGTTATGATGCTGTGTAATCTTCCAGATGGTTACCAATATTTTAAAGGAACATACTGTTTTTTCCAGGAAGAAGTGAAAATGGAGATGAATATGAAGCTGGAGTCAATAGGTTGTGTTATGTTGCTCTTCACAAATATAAAAACTATTTGAATAACACAGTCTGATGCAACTAGTTAATGTTACTTAATAGTCTTCACTTGAGACGACATGTTTCGGAAATTATATTTCCATCATATTTTAAACCGTTGGCGGTTTAAAATCTTAAAACTTTTTATATTTTTATCTTTTAATGGTTTTAGCCAATTGGTATTGCAACTTAGAGGGTCTTATTTCTTTGACCTGATGATGGAAATATAATATCCGAAACATGTCATCTTAAGTGAAGACCATTAAGTAACATTAACTAGTTGTATCAGGATGTGTTTTATTCAAATAGTTTTTATATATAGGTTTCTTTGAAACACTGATAACCACTTACATTACTACATGGCATCATAACCCTGAATACTACAATCCACTATGACATGTTTCACACAATCAGATAAGTATTTTCTAAACTTAATATTAAAAGGTTTCATTTTAACATTTACAAAAAAGAAGCAGGATTCCAGAAATATGCTTACTCACTAACTGTTAGCAAGTTAACATATTGGTGGAAAGTTTAAAAATAAATATATGAAGCATAACATGAGGTTATAGGCACGTAAAGTTTGTTAAGTGGTTAACAATTCAACTATACAAATATAACATAAAAACACATTTTATTGCTGTTGCATTCCATGTTTATAATTTAATTAATTAATTAAAAAAACATCAAATACAGCACACTACAGTCAATTATCAAAGCAGTTATAATTAGATATTTAATTATTTATTAGCAAACATGTTTCAACTCTATGTAGCCATTCTCTGGGATAAAGTGTTTTTATTACCTTAGAACAACTCTGATTACAATGTACATGACTATTATCTAACAATTAATACATTAAAACATATTAAGTATTAAAATACTACAACATATCTACCATTTAAATGCTAACTTAAAATAAAACCTCCCATGATGAAAGAACAGAAATAAAAATATGGAGAGATGAAAAATGAAAGTATCACCCTGTTAGACAATTGGTTTATCAGCATTAAAATGTAGGCATCATAATGATGGCCATTTTAACAGTTGCGCAACGTATGCTGGGTGTCATGTTAGAAGGTCACTGAAACGTATCTCTAGCTTATTACCAGGTCACCTGATTAGGGTCTCCTCATTGTTACATGATACACACTCCCGCATTGTATTCGGTAAGTAGGTTCAAATTTCAGCCCAAAGACTGGCTATCCTGAGTGTGGCTTTTTGGTGCTTTCCTCAGCCCCTCTAAGCAACTGCTGGGATATCACCTTAAATTAGGTAATGACCACTTCTTTCCACATCCTTTCTAATTCATTACCCACCATCATCCGCTCATCCAATGCTATACAGTCTAGATATTAAAAGCGTTGGAAAATAAACCATAAATAGAGAGATTAGAGTTTTCTTACATAAATTGATTTTTATATTTGTTGTATAATGTCAAAGTCTGTCAATGAAGTAACCATTGCAATAAGTAAGTTTTCCTAAGGTAATGAAAATACGATACCTATAAGGATGGCTTGATAGAGCTGACACAAGTTGGGTCAAAAATACTTACTTTATGGAGCTGAGTCCTTTCTCAGAAGCCAAGAGTCACTCAGCTACTCAAGAAATTCCCAACATTTTATGGAATCCAACAGTTAATTACCGTGTTCACAAGAGCCCACTACCGGGCCCTATCCTGAACCAGAGGAATCCAGTCTGTACCACCCTATCCTATTTCTCTAAGATCAATTTTAATATAATTTCCCCACCTATGTCTTGGTCTTACTAGTGGTCTCTTTCCTTCCGGTTTACCCACCAAAACCCTGTATTCATTCATTTTCTCTCCCATGTGGGTTGCATGCCCTGTCCATTTCATCCTCCTTGACACAATCAGTCTAATTATATTCAGTGGGGAGTACAACTTATAAAGCTCCTCATTATGCAACTTCCTCCAGCCTTGTTGTAATTCATCATTCTTAGGTCCAAATATTCTCCTCAGCACCATATTCTCAAACACCCTTAGTCTAAGTTCCTCCCTTAGTGTAGGAGACCAAAGTTGCAAGCTCATACAAAACTATGGGCAAAATTATAGTTCTGTATATTTTAATCTCTTGTTTTTGGACAGCAGAAGAGAAGAATTTAATCTGCTCTTAATTTATTCATGAATCAAATTTTGATTTGTTACTGTCGCTCCCAAATATCGGAACTTTGCCACATTTTCACAGGACTCATTAACTATCTGTATGTTACAATTCTTCCCTGCATTCTGGTGATGAGACGAGAAAGTAAGAAAAACTGGATTATGTGTATGGTTAGAGCAGTCTCAAAAGAAAAGTGTTAAGAAGATTGCACTGCAAGTGTTTATGCCCTATTTAAAGGCAAAGACAGCTGTAAAAAAATGGAACCTGTAGTTGTATTACATTTATGCTCGCCATGAACTGAAGGAGCTGGACAAAGCAAAATGCTTACAGCACTATAAATGCTTTCAGGCCTTAATTGAGGAATACACAATGAACTTCCATGACATAGTTTCCTTCATTGGCAAAGCATAGTTTCATCTTAAGAGGTACTGAAAAGAACCAGACAAGTAGGATTTGGTCCAGCAAAAAACCAAATTTGTTCCACAAAGTGCCCTTATATCCTGTCTCACTGGCATGTGGTGCCCCCCCCCCCTTGAGGTGACAGCTGATGACAACATATACTAGGATATTATCACCAGTTCATCGCACTATTTGAAGTGAATGAACACAATTTGTTGCTTCTGCAAGATGGTGATGAGTCATAAGTCTAATGAAACCAATACCTTCTTGTGGGAGTTCTTTGGTGATCGCCTAATCTCCATAGACTTGTGGCCCCCAAGATCTCTGGACTATTTGCCTGATTTCTTTCTCTAAGGCTATCTTAAAGAAGCGGTCTACATGACAAACCTACGCACACTGGGGGAACTGAAGCTGCAATTGAAAACATTACTGTTGCTGATGTAACCATAAAGTTTTAATGTTTGTATGAAGTATGTTTTGCAAACTTTCATGTAATATATGTAATACTCTCATCTGGGTTGCATGACTTTTGTTATCACCCCATACAGCAGCAGCTTCTCCCACATTGGTATCTAGGTGTGTTTGCAAGTAAAAGTTTAAAAAATGTGCCTATTAGTCTGTACGTACATAATATAAAACTTGCAGTGACTTAATGCAATGAAATCTTCTCAGGCAACAAGCTGTGTCAAAATGGAGTCATAGTCCAACGTTTCAGAGACACTCCATTGTGATGCGGCTTGTCACCTGGAATATTTTATTGTACGTACATAACTTGAAAAATGCTAAATGGATTTTCATGAAATATGACACAGGAGTTTTGCTAAAATTTGTCAATACATTTCAACTGTGGTAAAAGAAATGAACAACAAAAGCACTTTACATGAAAACCTACATGCTTCTGTTCACAGAGGACTGGGTGTGACATTACCATTCAGCAAAACAATGTCATAGGGGAATCCCTGTAATGACACAATCCCTCAGAGATGTATGCCAGATACCCAACCCATGCAAAGCATAATGACTGAAGACAACTTGGCAAATACAGTTGAACTGTTATACCATGATACATTTCCTAACTTGTTAAATTAGTAATAATTATGTAAGATTTGAGGTTTTCACAGCGGTGAGTATGAAGATTTCTGTCTTCTGGGTTGTTGCGCTGTGTAGTCTGGTCGATGTTTACCAACGTTTCAGAGGTCATACTGCCTCCATCATCAGGGCGATGAGTATGAAGATTTCTGTCTTCTGGGTTGTTGCGCTGTGTAGTCTGGTCGATGTTAACCAACGTTTCAGAGGTGATACTGCCTTCGTCATCAGGGCGATGAATATTAGTAATAATTAAACTGCAGGACTTCAGGTTTTCATAGCAGTGAGTATGAAAATGGCTTTGTTGCAATGCGTAATCTGGTAAAGTTTAGTGATCTTGCAGAGGTGCTTGCTGCCTCCATCATCAGGGCCACTCATCACCCTGATGATGGAGGCAGCAAGCACCCCAGAAATGTTGGTAAAATTATACCAGACAACATGGCGCCTCAACTCAGAAAACAACCATCTTTGTAATGAAACTGGATCTAGTGAAAATAATTAATTAACCCTCTGATTTGACTTATCATACTTTAGTTGCATGGGACTTTAATGGACTTCGTTTATGCTGATGAGCAGTATTTATCACAGAAACCTGTTGGTGTAAAAGACTGTTTCGAATTTTAACAGTTTACAGTAAATTATGCCTTGTATAAACAAAGAGAAAAAACACACAAGTTGCTGAACCATTGACCATGTGTTTCTGAAACCACCTGCAATTATGTGTTACTGCTTCATATTCTGGAGGCACAACAGTTTATATGGCTATAGACGTATAGAAACAAAACTTTAACAAGTCTGTTGTGGCATGACTTGAGTTTTATAATATATCACAATGAAGATCAAAATGGAGTGACGCTATTGTAAGGTTTACATCTAATCAAGCAACTGAGCTGCCTACGTTCAGTTCAGTCACTTGTATGGTACACTTAAGGGCTGTGGATGAATGAAGTTACTGGTCAATGCTAAAATGGCATGACAGCAAAACCACATATTGTGGTAAATGAAATATAAACTTTGTAATTATATAAATATGAACCAGAGAAAAAAACATATATATCAACACAAAAATGTTTAAAAGACAATTTTCTTTGTTCTATTGTACCTTCAAAATATCTTCATGGGCTTTCAGTACATCCATATAATAACCAACACATCTTTCACACAATCTAATTGGACGAGCATGTCTTATTGCACACTGTGTGAAATTTGAGGTAGAACTGGCAAAACATTCAAGACGATTCTTGCAGCTTTCCACACCATTTATAATCTTGTCTTGGCTGCATCTGAAAATCACATATAGTTGATAGTAAAACAGTATAACACTCATTGTAAGGCAGTCATTGGGTAACTATAACTACTGGTCAAATTTTATTGCATTATCTTACAGCATAAATGTATGACATTATGTGACAAGCTGTTAAATGAAATATAATAATAACTTTCTTACCATCACAATGCATTTAAAATAACCAACCTGAAACCAGCAACGAGAATTACAGGACACAAATTCTGTGATAAACAAGACAATTAAATTCTACCCAAGCCTCTTAGTGATAGTTTGTTAGTTCAATCAATGCCACTAAACTGCTGCACAGAATATAGGAACTGAGTGAAAAATGAATAGATTATGAATCAGAAATTTGAAAGAGGATATAAGGTTACAATCATGGCCTGTTTTAAAGTTCTACCATAACATTTTCCTGGAGGAACTATTAAAAGCCATAATTATTTAAGCACAGCCTGTTTCCCCGTTGAACATCACATTATATTTGATTCATTATGGTGACACAAGGTTGCACAATATATCACACACACTATATGTATAATTCATCAAGTCCACCTATGATTTATGCAACCACTACAAACCCACAATCTAGTGCACAAGCTTTCACTTCTTACCACCCCATACCTAATTACATGAGCCACAATTTCTGAGTATAATCTTCAACAGCATGCTTCAATATAAAATTGTATTGTAACTGTATGGAAATCATGTGGCCACATATAACTTCTATAGTTCTTATACGTATTTGTTTTACTTACATTAGCAACTTTTTTCTACAATACAATCCTCTCAGGCTACAAGCTGTGCAAAAATGGAGCAGTAGTCCATTTCATAGACACTCTCTATCTAAATTATGAGGAACGATGCAATGTCTCCATCATCGTTCATAATGATGGAGACAGTAGTGTCTGTGAAATGTTGGACTACTGCTCCATTTTCAAGAAGCTTGTTGCCTGAGTGGATTTTATTGCATTTAGTCACCATGAAAGCCTCAAGTCAAATGTTTTCCTAATAACTAACTAAGTAGATGGCTTACCGAACCCGAAGGTTCATCACAGAATTAACCAAAGCCCTCCACCGGACCCTGTCCTGGGCCAACAAAATCCAGTTTCCTTCAACTCCTATCTCCCATAGATCCCGCCTCACATTATCCTCCCATCTACGTCTAGGTCTCCCCAGCGGTCTCTTCCCTTCAGGTTTCCCAACCAGTACCCGGTGCACACCTCTTGTCCCATCCATGCGCGCTACATGTCCCGCCCATCTCACCCTTCTCGACTTAATCACCCTCACAATACTGGGGGAGCAGTACAGATTTTTAAGCTCGTCATTGTGCAATTTTCTCCACGCCCCATCGTCTTCCCTCTTAGGCCCAAATATCCTCCCCAACACCCGATTCTCAAACACCTGCAACCTGTGTTCCTCCCTCTGAGTGAGAGACCAGTTACAATATGATAAATATGTTACTAATTAATTCAAAGCACACTATTCACAGAAGTAATTCATGTGAATCTGAAAATAAAGTATTAATCACTCCTGAGCAAAACTATTAAAATAAACACATAAAAGCTACTCTCTGTATTGTCACCTAAATTCAGTGGTCTGGCCTTCCCTCCATAATTCCTCACACATTCATGATGTGGTACAAAGCAGGAGGACAACTTTTCATTCCTTCTGTCATGCAGGAGGTAAGTATATACCACTATTAATAAATTCTATGAAAATGTACCACAATTAAGCATCTTGGGTACAACAATAAGAGGCAAATATAAGACATATTCTACATCATAGGCTTAGGCCTATGAAGAATTTATGGAATGTAAACAAATTTTGTTCTATTATATTCTGTTCTGAATCATCAGTATAACTTCAAAACAGAAGCTGATGTTCAATGACTGGAATGTTTTGTTTCAGGCAAAAGGGACTTCAGTTGTTAAACTTTCCAGAAAAAAACCAAGACTCATTTCTCTCACATCCTTCTTTTTATACTTCCTATTTGCATTCAGAGCTTAAAGCTGATAAAACAAGGGAAAATACTGTAAAAGGGAAATACAGAAAAGTGAAACTTACAGAGAGGGGAGGTAAAGAGATAAAGTGTCACAACTTGTGTTTGCATCTTAGAATTCAATGCATTTATTAATGTAGTAGACATCAGTAAATAAAGACAATTACAATCAGGTAATAACATTAATAAAACTGGTGGTGCCAAACTAACAAATGCAAATTTGGTTACAGATAATGTTAAGAGAATTTAATTTATGATGTGCTTGTGTCAGTTCTCCTTCTCGAAGGTATCACCACCTTGTCGAAGGCAATCTGCCGGGTGAGGAGGCTTGCGTGCTCAAATGACCCTTAGGGCTATGCCGGCCTGAGCTTCGGCTCATGGTAGGGTCACCCAAGCCGGACAGGTCTAAGGAGATGCGCTAGACTAAGAGTGATACCCTGGTCCTCCAGGTTGGGGGTTGGGTGGAGGGCTAACAACCTTTCACCTTTAAAAAAAAATATGTGTTACGAAAAAACCAACCAAGCCTCGGATCAGGACGGACTCTTTGGCACGACCACGGCAATTGAAAAAGGACATGAGATTTGGTACTTGGAACATTAGGAGCCTCTATAGGGC